CCTGAAAGATTTCCACTCCAGTCAGAAGCTAATGTATCCTTCCAGATGTTTTTACACAGGAACAGATTAAGCTCTTAAGATACAGAGATTCAACCCTGAGCACACAGAGTTATGACAGTGGCTTTAGATCCTGGAAACCTGGGTGACCATCTCTGGGCAGTGACAGCATAAGAGTCAATTGCAACAACCCAGAAAATTGTCTCTCCATTCCCCTCCATCCCTACTGCAAGCTTATACTAACAAACCACTGTCTCCAGAGGAAAAAATAGCCTGTGAACCTCTGGACTGAAAATTACAAGCATCTGTCAGAAGCAGCACTATATATTTGGATGTTGAGGGTGACTTCAAAATGTACCAAGGTGTAAACGCCTTTAAAAAAAAACCTGGTGGACACTCAATTATAAAAACAGACTGAAGCTTTAGAGCTTTTCATGTTGGGTTGGGGAGGAAGATTAATCTGGTTTTCCAAGATACAAATACACATCACCTGAAAAAAACTCATTAGTATTACAAAAAAAAAAAAAAAAAAAAAAAAAAAAAAAAGGAAGTAATAAAACCAGCACACATACCCTCATCTTTCATAGACAATATGTCATACCAGTTATTTTCCAGTATTTCCATAGCATATCTGGTAGTGCAAATGACATGGCAGAACTTTATCTAACCACTGCAAATATAATAGAGAGTTTGTACTACATGATGCAAGTCCTTTGGATAAATTCGGTTATTTTTGTCATTTGCTCATGTCAGTCGGAGCCAATCCCACCAGGGGAGCCATGACCATATGCCAGCGCTTTTCACTCCTGCTAATTCTGTGTACAACCATGTTTCCTCTGCTCAGAAAATGACCTACATATGTAGTCAAAAGATGCTACCAGGAGCACTACATATGTCAGATTCAAATATAGTCTTTTAAAAAAATACTACAGACATTTTGAGCACAAAACAAGCACTGAACAGTAGGCTCACATTGTAGCTGCATATTGTGGAGATACCTCATGTATGAAAGACAGAGGTCAAGAAGAAAATAAGGCACCTAACCAGGCAGGTTACAATTACACCRCAGACTAAGTAATGTGTACATACTGTAGTAACCCTGCTTTTATGAGAGTTTGGGTAATGTGTACRTTTAGTAATGCCTAAGCCACAGATTCAGCAAGAAAAAAAAAACCCTGAAAAGCTGATCATTAACTGAGCACCATTTATTCTGCATGCCAAACAGGACAGGAGTATCTAATTATCCAGCTAATGATGTGCACATCACGACAGAGACCAGTTCTGRAGGAGCAGGCTTAATGCCATCTCTTCCTGAACACTGCTCAAACTGCTTTTCTTCCACAGGCAGTATRTAAGTGTTCTTGAAAAAGTGACCTGAACAGCTCACTACCTGAAGCACCACACCAACAGCCCCCTACATCAGCTGCAGGCTTAAAACCTTCAGCATCCTCAGACAACACAAGGACTAACTACTCTCACTGCAGACGGGTGAGCTGTTGGCAAACCMTGGCCAATGGGTTCAGGCAAATTAGGACAATGGACTGATTACAGCCTAAGAAAGAAGTGATTTTGCAAGCATGGTTGTTTATTATGATTCTTTCTAGTCTCCACTATGTTTAGTCCCAGTGATGACTCTTCTCACTCTTCACCTTCCTTCTCAAGACAGCAGTTATTTCAGTAGAAATAACTCTTGTCTCCAGTCATGCCTGGTTCTTGCTTCGGTGTTTCAGTTCTGGCTGGCCTCAGGCTTTGGGACAGACCAAGGATGAGCCAAGTGAAGGACTCAGCTTTCCTGTCAAGCACACAAACTACAGCATCCAACACAAGACAACAGGCTGAGGCCTTCACCATTATCAGAAGCCAAAGGTCCAAACATACTTAGTACTAATGACTTTTTTTCTTAGCTGAGCTCACACAAAGTGTTACCAAGCACATGCAATYCAGTTTCCTAAATGCTTGGATTTTGCCCACATTTGCAGTATTGYATTATCTGTCCAAATACTGCATTCCTTACATATGGCTCAGACAAATTCCTGAAGAGTCAGGGACACCAGAACTGCTCAGGAATGGGCAGGTGGGAGGCAATAATGACCATAACCTTGTTCTTAAGCCATTTAGCTTAGAACTGTCATGAACTACRTATTTAGAAATTCAGATCTGAAAAGATCTAAGGATAGTCTAAGCTCATGTTGAACATGTTGTCCCTTTTCATGCATTCCCTATATTTTGTATTTACACCAAGGAGAGGAGAGAGGGAAAAGGAATATAACTGTTTCCACCACAAAAATCTTTTCAACATTTATAATAAAAGAGGATTTARCTTGTCCTTGAAAGAAAGTCTTMATTTCCAGAAACATCTCTTTCTGTAATGGTTGTAGAGAAAGGGAGAGCTTTTCCATTTCAAAACAGCTCTAAGGAATATGATAAGAAATGAACAAGACAGACAAATGAGAGATATTCCTCATTTCAGCATATATCCTGTGGTTTTCATCCTYCAGAGTTTAACTATTCCTTTATAAATCACAGTCACAAGAAAAAGAGCCATTTTCCCCAGACAAAATTAACACTGATCCACCCTGTACCAGCAAGGGCAGAAGGAACATCACCATATCTGCTTTTACAGCACCACAGTACTGCTCATAAGACAGTAATTCATTTAGTAAATGCAAGCAAACACATACATCTGGAGTAGATGTCTTGATGGGCAATTTGCAGAGAGCTATAGGAAAGAAACCTCAAAAATTTATAAAATTATACACAGTTAAATTTTTACTGGTTTTCAGGTAGGAAAGCATTCATAACACTATACCACTGCACCCTCACATTTTAGCAGTTTGTACTATCACTGAAGTATCACATTACTGAAAACTTTTTTACACCAACATTAGGTCATTCTGGTTCACTATGCACAGCAGTAAAATGATAGCCAGAAGTCTCCAAGAGATGAAAAGGAAGAAAAAAAGCTCCACCAATTTCTAATTCCTTCATGAAATTATCCAGGCTCCCTCTGGTGGGGGATTTAATGTAGAGACTGTCGCAGTTTGCTATATGAGAATAGTTTTGAATCAGTGTTTTTTTCTTTTGTAAAATAAACCATGTTAGGATTGAACTCTGCAACTCCTGGAGTCTCTTGTCATGCTTCAGTCACAGAAATCTGAGGTAAAACTTTGTTTCTGACTCTAAGTTACATCACATAAAGAGCAATCTGTGATTTTTTTAAAAGATAACGTTTTTAAAACATAAACTAGTGTCTTTGTGCTCCAAAATCCTCAGAACATTTCTCATTTCTTACTTCAGCTCTCCAGAGTCTCAGCAGAAGCACTACCTCTGTCCCTGATGCGCACAGAGCCAAAGAGAGATTGCCCTCTCCAGAGCACTAGGATCCAGGGATCTAGGGCTCCTAGTTTTCATTTCTGTGAATATTGATTATATTAAGTCCCAAGTCTCATATCTCTCCAACAATTCAAGTATCATTTATTTGSACCACTGCAAGACAATTCCAACGTGTCTATGTATCTCTCTACAGAAAACACACATTTCTCTACACCCCCTGAAGTTGTCATTGTAACCAGTTACGGTCAAGGAACATGACAAGATTTATAAACAGAAAAAGACATCAGATTCGATATTTTTAGTATCTACCACTAAATATAAGTACTATATATTGCCATCAAAATTCCTGTTATGTGTGTGACCTCATAGTCAAATTCAGTTTTGTCTCCTGAACTTCATGACCAATGTAATCAACATTCTGCAGTCTGAAGTCCTGATTAAACAAAAAACATGCAGAGAGGTAGAATTTTTTAAAAAAATTTTAAAAGAACTATACAACTTGGGGTAGGACAACTGCAACCCAAGGATGTTCCTATACAGGAAAACCAGCATGAGCCCTTTCATGGATGGAGTCGATTTTATTTCTGACAGCCCTTATTATGACTCACTAACTTTTCTTTCTTAATAAGGCCACAATTTGCATCAGAGCAAGTGTGTCTATAACCAGCCTGAAGACTCAAAAAATTATCCAATGGCTAAGAAACATACTTTGCTACACAGAAGAAAACAAGTTTAGTTCTCAATTTGTCCTTGTGCTTTTAGATAGAAAGGGTTACAAAATGATACCTACTACTGTCCAAGGATTTTGATTAACCTCATATAGCCYATCTTAGGATGATCAGTATAATTCAGATTACTGCCAGAAGCTGTAGAAGTACCAAAATTTGGGGGATATTTAGGATATAATCACACAGAAACCATTCTCATAGGTTACATGAAACAGTCATCATCACTGCAAGTTCTTTGRGACAACTATAAAGTTTTATGAGAACCCACAGCTTGCAACCCCTACATAATGGCAAACAAAGAGCAGCAATTCACKATCAGGGCGTCATTAATGAAATCCAAAGTCTTCCAAACTTAAACCTTAACTTACTTAGATCAAGAGGTTACTATCTCATTTCGTACCAGAGGCATTCCTTTATTGCCCAAGTAAAGCTATGAGGGGAACCAGCAGAGAGGCATTTACAGTTCAGAAAGACAGGCGTGATCTCCTCGCCCCCTGACTTCTCAGAACCCCCTCAAATGCAAAGCCTGCGGTGTGTGCTGTTGACATTGACAGACCACCCTTAAGACGAAACTGCAGAAAGGATGTGAGACCATTCTCCTCGTACAGAAACAGACAACTTTCCCAGCAACGGGGCAAGCCTACACCACCTGTAAGTAAAATCAAAGAGGGGAAGCACACAGACCGTCCCCTTGCACACCGAGCTGCGATGGCCATGGGACCCCGCCTCGGACCTCGCTCAGCCAAGCGTTCCCCTCGCCAGCTCCCCAACCCTGCACACCCCGGGGCCAGTTCGCCTTCTGCCTCACCGCAAGGGGCTGCGGGAGCTGGGGGACGGGCGATTCCCGGCTCGATTAAACCTGCCCCGGGGGAGCGCTGTCCCCGCCGGGCGAGAGCCGGGTCCGGCGGGGGACGGAGCMCGGCGGGGCGGCGCGGCACTCACCGATGCCCAGCCCCACCACCACGCGTCCCGCCAGCAGCGTCTCCTTGTCGCGGGCGGCGGCCAGCACGCCGGACCCCGCCGTGAAGAGGCCGCTGGCCAGCAGGATGCAGGGCCGCCGGCCACACAGCCCGTTCAGGACGCCGCCGGCCAGGGCGGACAGGGCGGCGGCGCCCACCGTGCCGGAGACCAGCAGCTCCTGCCAGAGCGCGTCCAGGTTGAGCTCCCTCTTGAGGAGGAGCAGCGCCCCCGACACCACGCCAGTGTCGTAGCCGAAGAGGAAGCCCCCCAGGGCGGAGAAGACCGACACCACGTAGACGAAGCCGGGGGTCTCGTCCTGCTGGAACTGGCGCCGCGCCGCCCGTTCCAGATCGCCGCCCGACGCCGCGCTGTTGAGGCTGGAACAGGACTCGGCGGCGATGAGGCTCCGCTCGCCCGCCGCCGCACCCGAGCCGGCGGACCCGTCCGCCTGCCGCCGCCGCTTCTCGCCCATCAGGTTGCTCAGGCTCCGCAGCGTATACTCCACATTATCGCTGGCCTTGCGGGACATGGGACGGCCGCGGAGGCTCCCGCCCCGACCGGGGGAGGGCGGGGGGCTGAGGCGGGCGGCTGCCGGGCTACTCAGAATACGGCGGCGGGGCTGCTGCCGCTGCTGCCGACGCTGCCCGTTCTCGGCGCGCCCGCCCCTCTCGGGCCGCGCTCAGCTGGCTCGCATCGTTCCCCCGCCGCTGGGCGGACTTGAGGGGAAGTTGCCGCCGCTCCCAGGGCCCGGGCGGAGCTGGAGGCGGAGGCGGGCGGGGACAGCGGCGAGCGCGGCCCGGCGGGCGCAGGGGGCGGGCCCGGCCGTCCTCCCCGCCGTGCGCGGTACGGGGCAGGCGCGGCTCGGAGCGCCTGCGCGCGGAGCGACCCCGCCGCGCTCACTCGCGGGCCGGGCGGGCCGGGTGGGGTGTCCGGGGGGCGGCAAGGAAGCCTGGAGGGAAGCCCTGGGCGGGTGGGCGCCACGCAAGCCCGGAGGCTGTGTCCCAGCCCGCGGAGCTGTTCCTGCTGACAGCCCCCGCCAGCACGGGGTGAAAGGGGCCGCCAGCCGGGTCTGCCCGTTCGCTCCCCGCGCGGTTCCGCGCTGCTCGGGGAGCGCTSTCCAGGTGCGTGGCGCGCGTAGGGTTCGCAGTTAACTTGGTAACTGGATCGTTTGAACGGAGACCCCGTTCAGCTTCCGCGTTTGTCGTTTTCTGAAGTCCTGGGTGTTACTGGGTGTCCTGCTCTGCGCGGAAGTAACGGGTTTTTGCTGCTTCCCAGCTCTCTTGGTCYAAGCTCGATTGAGGGGACCATTTCAGGTCGTTAGTGTCGATTGATTGTCCCGACCTGCCCTGCTTTCCTTCTTTAGAGAGTGCTGAACAGGAAAAGCCGTGGGGCTGCACAGCTCCGAAAAGCCCTTTTGGCACCGCTGCCTTTGCAGTCGCAGGCTGTCACTGCAGGGGTTCTGAGCGAGCCTGCCCACCCCCGTCCCTGCGAGCTGCACGGCGAGCTGGGKCGAGCGAGCGCTGCTACCACAGCATGGCCAGAGCCCTGGAACAGGCTGCGCAGGAACGGCGTGCAGTCTCCCTCTCTGGAGACACTGAAAACCCACCTGCACGCCTTCCTGTGTGACCTGCTCCACGTTACCAGGGGGCGTTGAAGGATCGCCAGAGATCCCTTCTAACCCTAACAATTCTGTGATTCTGTTACAAAAAAARGGGGGGAATTTCCAGCAGTTGTTCAGAGAGGGACAGATTTCTTACTATGTAGGAGCAGTGTCTGGAGCTTGTTCTTATGTTTATGCTTGAAGTAGAGCATCGCGTTTTGGTAATTCCACCTTTAAGCAGTGTTTTTGGTGATTTTTCACTGGGATGCAGAGCCTGGTGGGTCCTGTCAGCGGGGAGAGGTGCCCAGCTCCGTGGGGACCCAGGCAACCTTTGCTGCCCACGTGTATGGAAGGAACTTCCAGGTGCAATGCAGACCTTGGGAAAAAAGAATATATCATCACAATATTATCCTYTGTACTATGTACATATGTATATGTACTTCACATACATATATTTGCACATACAAGGCTAAAACAAAACTTTCCTTCTGGCTTGACTGTTTTCTGTAGAGATTCTCATAATGAGGCCAGCCAGTAGCTGGAGAATTTTGGTAATTAATGGATCAGTTAGGAGCCCACATCTTGTGAGCAGTACTAGTGATAGCTATTTGAATTTAAAAATTGGAAGAGGGTGCAAAGTCCAACATGGCCAGGTGCACAAACCCTTTTTGGTGGTTTGCCTCTGCCCCAAAGCAAGCTGTGACATTCTAATACTGTGGTCCAGATAATGCCAACTAAATAAAATAGTGAGCTGTAGTTACTAAAGTGAATTATAATAACAGTATAATAATGTCTATGTAGTTAATCCACATTATGGCAGTGGATTTCTAAATACAATAGGTCAGCTTGCGTGTTTGAGCATGAAGAAGCCTGAACTAGATAATAATTAAATGCACATTAASTTTCARTTATTTTTAGCCAAGATYTGGGTAACRTGGTATGATTGGCACAGGGCATTCYTTATTCTGGTAAAGACCATTAGGGGCCAACCCAGTACTAGAGCAGCAAACAGTTCCAGGTTGTAGCATCAGGAATGAAGTTAYCACAGAACACACTGAGTWGGAAGRRACCCACAAGGATCATCAAGCCCAACTKCTGGCCCTGCACAGCACCGTCCCTGAGAGTCACCCCATGTGCCCAAGAGCATTGTCCAAACACATCTTGAGCTSCCAGGCTGGTGCTGTGACCACTTCCCTGGGGAGCTGTTCCTGTGCCCAACCACCCTCTGGGGGAAGAACCTTTTTCTGACACCCAACCTAAACCTCCCCTGACACAACTTTASGTCATTCTCTTGGGTCCTSTCACTGGTCACCACAGAGATCAGTGTCTGCCCCTCTGCTTCCCTCATGAGGAAGTTGTAACTGTAGTGAGGTCTCTCAAGTGTCCTCCAGGCTGAACAGATCGAGTGACCTCAGSCATGTCACAGCTTCCCCTCAAGGCTTTTCATCACCTTCATGGCCCTCCTTTGGCTTTATGCCTTTCTTATATTGTGGCACCCAAAACTGTCCCCAGCACTCAAAGTGAGACCATCCCAGTGCAGAGCAGAGCAGAGCAGGATAATCCCCTCCCTTTCCCAGCTGGTGATGCTGTGCCTGATGCCCCCAGGACATGCTTGGCCCTCCTGCCTGCCAGGGCACTGCTGATTCACATTTACCTTTCCGTCATCCAGGACCTCCAGGTCCCTTTCTATGGCACTGCTTTTCAGCCTCTCATTCCCCTGTCCGTCCATACATCCAGAGTTGCCCCATCCAAGGTGCAGAATCTGACACTTTCCCTGGTTGAATTGCTGAATGCTGGAAATTTTGYCCAGGACACTAGGAGAAACAGTATCAATAGTTTTGCCAAAATCCAAAAAAAATTTACATTAACTGGCTTCCCTTGATCAACTGGGTGGGTTATAAGGAACTGTCTCCTCAGGTGCAGCAGTTCTCCATGAGCAGACTAGTTTACATTTCTACAGCACCAGCAGGAGAGGAGCTGTAATCTTCCAGAAGTCTCCAGACTTGCCTGACAAGCACAACACTCACTGTTTTTATTATGTAAGCCCCAAATAAAAATGTGGGACACAGTGCATGAAACAGAAGGCATTCACACCAAATCCCTAGCCAGCTAGAAGGAATGTTTTTTTGGAATATTGTCACAACAGCTGGCTGTCACAAAAACAACCTGTCTTTTTAACAGCCACCTCAGATACTGGAGGCATTCTGTATGATGCAGTTAATAGAGACTCAAGAGGGCTAACAAAAAGCTTTTATTTTTTCCCCTGATGACCCAACACAATCACAAACAGACAGAATTTCTCATCAGATCATGCTGCTGAGCTTATCTCTTAAAAGGATTCCCCAAAGAAACACAACAAAAAGTTCAGCTGTGCGATGCACTACACTGAAGACTGACTTTGGACAAAGACAGAGGATTTGTTTGGTTTGTGGATTTTCATTGTGATTATCTCTCCATAGTACTGGGTTTCATGATAAAAGCTGACTTATAAATTATTTCACATTAATGCAAAATGCAGTAGGTAYGATTAGTAACCTACGACAGGGCGTCAGATCCAAAGAAGGATTTGAGTGAATTTTGGGTATGATGTTATGCTTTCAAGAGATTGAATGTTTAATTGAAACACTGTTTAGATTCACAGCACATCTTCATTCTCTCCTTTAAGGTGTGTTTGCACAGTTGTTTGCCAGGATGTTGTGAACTAGATCAAAAAACTGGTCCAGCTTTAAAAATCTCAAATTTTTGAGTTTCACAGAAAGCAGGAACAATCATAGGATTTTACTGCTTTTATGTTGTTGATACATGGCAYACCTCATAAAATGTCTTCCAGAAAATTACTGAGCACTTAGTACATGTGCCCAGAACTCTGCCGGACCAGAACAGGGGAGTAAGCTCCTGTCTTTGCTGCCACTCAGAAGGGGGTGGATGACTGCCAGAATCTCCTGGGGACTTCAGAGCAGCCAAGATTCACAGAGAGATGCTGTAGGTCTGTGTGAGGTCAATAACCTCACCCAGCRAGTGGGAGGCCAGATTCATGGGTTTGTTTCAGCCCAGGAGGACTGAAATATCTTTCTCGCCTCTCAAGAAGATTGTAGGTTAAATAGGGAAAAGATGGATTCTTAAAGGAAATTGGGTTGATGTGCAGACAAGAATGTAAAAGCSATGAGTCTAGACAGTAAGCAGAAAAGGATGTGATTCGGTGGCAAAAGAAGGTCAGCCTTGTCAATGATGGTTGTATGCTTTACATAAAATTGTTTGCACTTAAAAAAAAAAAAGTAATACAAGGAGCAAATCCTCAAACCAAGAATTCTTCCCATCTCAGTTGGTGCTATGGGAGTGGGCATGAGGGCTTTAGCTTCAGGTGGGTTTCAGCAATAGTGTCCAACGTCTTGTGGTTTTAGGCTCATAAACTAATTTCTTGTTTGTTACTGTTATGATGCCTTAAASTCTGATACTGCTTTGATAGTCAATTACTTTGGCAAAACAGAATTGCTGTGTGAGYTGAGAAATACCACTGGGCTGGGCTGAGGGAAATCAGCAACTGAATATGCAAAAAAAAAGATAAGCAAATGCAGTTTATAATAGCAGCTTATATAATGTATGAAACCTTGGAAAAGCAATGACAGTAATGACAGAACCTTTTCTTACAAGTTAAGTTTGTTTGCAGATTTCAAGGTTCAGAAAACTGTTCTCTACACAGAATTTTACATTATCAGTGTGCTGTGATGRGGTACAACTTTTTACGAGAAGTATTTCTTCCACTGAGAAGACAGAAACCCGGACCCATGATCACGCCTGTTTGTTGAGTTTGCATTATATACTGATAATATAAAGTTGTGACTGTTAGAAAGTCTCTAATTTAAAAGAGAAAAACAGGATCCAAAAGTAGGAATTTAGAAGCTATTTGAAGCAGTGTAATGCCATAAAACTTCTTTTTGTTCCAAAGTKCATCCTATTACAATGTTGTTTGGTCTCTTTGGAAAGAAAACACTTTCACATACATTCTATAGTTTTCTGGSCCCTATATAACCTTCCTTCTCCAGCCATTTTCTCTATCTTGACAGAGTCATTAATTTGTCTGAATGTGCCTGTCTCTGAGCTCTTGATACACTTTTATTATTGTATTATTTTTTTTATTTGTA